ACACACACACACACACACACACACACACACACACACTCACACAAACACACTCTCCTGCCAGCATCCGTCTCCTCAGCGCCGAGCGCCATGGCGGCGAGTCGGCTCCGTCTGAACACAAACACTCATCTTCTTCTCCACATCTTTCACTGTGTGTGGCTCCACTGTTTTCAGCTCGCTGCCTTCGTGCTCTCTGATTGGTCGGCTCTTTGATCTGCTTTAACTCTGTGGCTCTTTCTGCCTGCAGACTATCTGTCTGACATCCAGGGAAGGTCGGAGGGTGACCCGGGAATCTACTGGGACTTTTACGGCAGCTCGGCGTGTGGTTAGTTCACACACACACACAAACTCAGCACTGACGTCACTACGAAAAGAAAGGCAGGAAGGTTGGGGGTAAAAAAAATCAAAGGACTTTGTATCCATCTGCTTTTATTGAAGACAATCTGACAAAAGGAAAAGCAGTAAGAAGAATCAGGATTGAACCAAAATTTGAGAATCTTATACAAAGGAAAACAAAATGGAACAACATTGAACTGATCAACATCTAACCACCAAAATAGGTCTACAGAGTCAGGACAAGCATGGAGGACAAGCAGGAAATAATGAATCATTCTCATGCAACCAGTACTGGACAAATTAGGGATAGAAAAACACAAGAATAAGAATTATTACACTGGTTCATAGGGTTTTCTGGTAACAAGTTAGTGTAATAATGATCTAAACTGGTGCTATGAAACCAGAACTAAAGTAGGACCATGAACACCGGATCTGAAAAACTAGACCTAAATAAAAACCAGTCTAAAGGAATTGGTAAAAAAAAACAATTAAACTTGAATAATTATGTTCTGTTGACTCTTTAGAGGCTTTGAGTGAAGTGGGAGTCTATAACATTCTGGCTGACCCACCGGGACCAGAGGAAGAWGAGGAGGATGAAGAGGATGATGTGGATGAAGAGCACCGTGCCAGACGGGAAGTGTTTGAGTTTGAGCTCTCTGATCGACCGCTGCTGCCGTGCTACAACATCCAGGTGTCGCTGTCACAGGGGTATGTCAAATTGTTTCTAACTCCAGGTGTTGGTGTAACAGACACTGTCCACATGTGGACTAAAGGGCCCTGCATACTCCACTGGAAGCCACAAAGTCAGCTCTTATTGACACAGTTGCATGGCGAGAATTGTGTTATTTTATTTGTAGAGTAGCTTGGGCCAAACGTTTTTCTCACAGGAGTGTGTACAGAGTATTGCATGATTGGTCAGAAGTTTGTGAATGTTTGTTTATGGGGAAAAGCTCCCAGACAGCATTAGTAGATCTGGCAGCAGATCAGGTTGGGGTGGGTTGGAGTACTGTTTGTGACGTCCCAAAAAGTGGTGTTTGAAAACAGGTCATTTCAAGACACAAGAAAATACATTTACTTATAGTAAAAATACCTCTGGTGCATTTTTAAAATTTTTTATTTTTGGTGCTTGGACTGTTTTCAGAAGCAGTGCAGACCCAAATGTAAGTAAAAATACCTGAAAATAGTGAATCTTGCATACCGGTAATAGGCCCACTTTAACACACCTAATTCAGATGATTGCAGTTCAACAAAAGCCTGTTAATCAGTTATGAATTTAAATCAGCTGTGTTGAAGCAGGGAAACATCTAGAACATGCAGGGCAGTGTGCCCCGAGGATCAGGGTTAAATAACACTGCTTTAAACTATGAAAATGYTCTGTATGTGTGAATGTAAATTCTGCCACCACGTGACCGCAAGTTGATTGTTCAGCTTCAGATCAAAGTATAAAATGCTCTTAAGGAAGCAGGTACTACCAGGAGCTAAASGTTGGAAGGTTGGAGTCCTTGGTTAACACTAGGGTTGGAGTCTGTGATTATAAAGGATCCTGGAGGACAAAAGTGAATGTACAAAAAAGGGGGTTCTAAAAAGCTGGACCATATTTAAACAAAAAGTACTGAGACAAGAACAAGAACTAGGTTACTGTATTTTTCGGACTATAAGCCGCACCCGCCATTTAAAAAAAAACCGTGAACATTAACATATAAGCCGCACCGGGCTATAAGCCGCACCCCCAACATAAAAAAACAGTACACCCAAATTTGCCGTCAAAAAAGTGAATTCAACATCAAAACATAAAAA